CTTTCCCTCAGAGTGTTTAAATTCTAAAATTGTACTAAAAAATGCATTGTCTTCATAACCAGTGATGTAAATATTAGCTTTGAGCCCATCAGATATGCCAGTTATTCTAGGGTCTATGCTGAGATCTGAGGATGCAGTTGAAGTGGCCTATGTCTTGTATCAAGTATTGGAAGTGTAACCAATAGACAGGTATTTAGTATGCTTTGAATATCATGACATCTGCCAAAGACATCTGCCAGAGTCATCTGTACTGATATGGAAGGAGCTTAGACAAACTCAAATGGGGAAGTGCAGTGCTTATGGTCATGAATTCATTTTTCCTGTGCTCCTTCCAGTTGTGTTTTCACTGACAAGTGTTTGTTGTGTAGGCTCAGATGAGGTCCTTCCTACTGCAGCCCTTACTTTGAAGTGTCAGTTATTGGTAAAGTGGGATGAGTATCTGGAAACAGGCTGAAGGATTATGCCTTATTGCTCACTCTCTCCTCAAGCTCTATTACAAATGAGCATGCAAAAACCTACCAGTCAGCCCTGCAGTGAGAACTTGTGTGTGACTCTGGGATGTGGTGGGGTTTGTGCCTGCTGGGGAGCTGCAGTAAGTATGCAGATACTTTTCAATGAAACTCAGCAATATGCTGTTGCTTTTCTAGGTGCCTGAGCCTAGTGTGGAAAATGCTTAGCTCAGCTGGAAAAGCTTCTATGACTGGAGCACAGAGAGGGAGGTGGGTGAGCATAATCTTGGGAGAATGCCTGTTTAATCAAGTGTAGTTTCAGCTGCATTTCTGACCCTTCTGAGTGCCAGCAGGTGTGTTGCTGAATGTCCATATCCCTCAGTGGACACTTGCTATGTGGCTGTTTGAAAATCTGAACTTCATTGACCAAAACTTTCTAAAACCCACCCTACTGTGCACTTCCTGCAGATCTATAGCTGAATGTGTGCTCTGGCTGCCTGGCAGAAGCTCTCATGAATAAGGAGATGGCTGAATATGCAGCACAGCTAAAGCTCCATTATATTCTCTCCTAAAGTGGCATTATTTCCCCAGGCCTAGTCACATACTTGGTTTTCACCTTAACTTTTCAGAGCTACTAAGAAAGGCAGGAACCTGCACTAATATGCCTTTCTGCTCTTGCTCCCTTTTCAACTCCTGTGTCTGGAAGAGAGTGCCTGATATCTCAGAACTTTGTTCAGCAAACAAAACTTGGGTTGTTTTCCAGGTACAATGGTCAAGCTGCAACATTTTCTCCACGCAGGACCATGCTGCAGCTGCTATTGCAAAAGCTGGTATCCCTGGTAAGTTTTCAATGTTCTAATTTGGCTCTGAGTTGGGGTGTACTGCTTGTTCTAGCTAAATCAAACTACGAAACAAGCTCTTCTGAACAAGCTTTGGGATAGAAGTAGCCCATCAAAAGCAGTGATTGTTACCAAACAGGACATTTTATTCAAGCTGCATTGCATCAGACTGTGTGTAGCACTCCTGAGGGTGGCTGGTGTTGGGCTATGAAGGAGCCTGTCTGGATGTTGCCAGCTTTAAGCCTGGTCATTAAGGTGATTGAATGGGCTTGGTAATTAAATGGATCGGTTTGTAGGGGTGTGTAGATGGTGGTGTTTGGTGCTTTCCAACAAGCTTGGTGCTAAATAGGGGTTGGGGAAGGGATCTTAACTGTAGTGTGACATCTTACAGTGACAGTGTCAATACTCAAGCTACTTCTAGGCTAGATCTGGGCTCGCTGTGTTGCTGCCTAATATCCCTGAAGTACATTATCAGGATGCTGCTGTTTGTTGCTGTCGCCTTCCAATAAAGAGGCATTCCTTGTAGATTCATTAAGGTGTCTGCTGTGTTACTCAGCTTGAGGACATGCAGTCCTCCTAGCTCTGTTCTGGGAACTGCATAGCCTGAGCCTGGGTGTTTGCAGAGGTTAGATCTGATTTCTGGAAGCCTAGTTCTTTGCTTTGGGAGGTGTCTTTCATTTGTTATAATTAAATAGTGCCACAACTCCTTCCCCAGCTGTGGTCCATTCTAAGGTAACAGAAGAAAGTGATCCCTTAATTACTAGCAGCAGGTAACACCTCCTCTGCCTGTCTCTGGCATGTGATGTCAAAGGACCAAGTGGGACTCTAGATCTGATGTTAGGATATTGACTTTCTCACTGCTCTCAACACCCAAAACTCAACTGAAGAGCAGTTTACAGGTGGAGTGTTTGTCTAAGTTTTTGACCTCTCCCCTTGGTATCCTTGTTTTGTGGAACTTGTTTTTTTTTGTTAATACTGCACTTCACATGCTGCATTTGCAAGGCATTGGAGGGCTGCTGATCCTTTGGATACAATATGAGATACTGATTTGCCCCTGCAGAATGGACAATTGCATGATTGGCCTTTCATAGCTCAAGGTTGATTTTCTGTGTAAACAGTGGGAAATGAGAATTCAGCCAAATGTTGGGGTATGCAAATCACATGCCTCATATACGTTTGAATGGCTGAGTACCACTGAGGCTGAAATATAGTATGAATCCAGTTCCAATGCCTGGAAAGGCAGAAATACTGCTAGATACAACATGCTAGTTGTTGCAGCATGTTGCTGGTGGTAGATGTACTCATACAGAAATGTGTCCTGTTACAAGCAGACAAGCAGCTTGGATTTTGGTGCTGTGCTGGACACTAGAGTATAAAAGTTGCTGAAGAGTTTGGTGCTAAAGTTTAGTCCCTCTTTTCTGCTGTGCTAGAAAATGCTGTAGTTGTGTTTTCATTTGTCTATATAAATATATCCAGTGGCTATTTCTAATTCCTAGTAGCATAGGGTGTATTAGGGGAGCAAGTGGGGTGTTGTGGATATCTCTGGTATGATTTGCTTTGCCTTTTCCCTCTTAACATGGAAGAAGGGTAAGGAGAGCACAAAATTTGACCAAGTTTGTGCCCTGGAAT